TGTATATGAGCTTTGGTTAGTGCTATAGGCTGTAGAGAAGCTTAAGGCCAACACGAACATATGACAGAGCGCGACCAAAACATTACGATGTGTTCGCAACAATAATTCATACTCCGTTTTGACATCTAACTATCCTTATGTACGATTCCACGAGACATCTGGTACCTACGTGAAATATTTATGTTAGATTTATCTCCGTTAATCAGACAGCTTAACTCTTTATTTGGGTAAAATTATGACGGAACAGAAAGAGGGACCAAACTGGTCAACAGGACGACAATGTGATCTATGTTTTGGGTTGAAAATCAAGGCTAACCACAGCATGGATTACAGTTTGTAAGAATGTATACATCTGATTCTCGAATTCCAGTCTCTGAGTCTATCAAAGTTTAATTTTGTAGCAGGTTTGTAAAAGCTAAGTAAGAATAGTGACCATGATTCCGAAAGGGTGCGAAGCTATGCATTTACAATCCCAAAACTTCTACACGATTGTTAACATTAATTCCGACCATTTTATGTTTTGCGAAGTCGCATTCTAAGTTTCAACAACTGGAGTCTGACGAGATAGGAAGCAAAGCTAAATGCCAGTTCAATTTATATTTGGCTATACTATATCGAATTCTCAGTTTGTGTTGTAAGACACTAGAAAATTGTCTTTTGTATAACCTTTAAAGAATATGATAGTGCTGCCATTGGCTGATGAAAATCTACCTTGCTGGTGGTGTCAATGAAGCAGAAGACGCTTCCCCTCTCGGATCATATAGTCTTATTCTCCTTTTTAAAGGTCTGCGTGTAAATCTTGCGTTTCTTCATGATACTCATTGTTTCATCCTTCTTGAACTTTGTTATGTTAACATGTCGGTGGGAGCTGTAGTTCCATAACAGAAATACCATACGAACGTTATAAATAACACAAATGTAAGCGTTAACCTCCACATAATGAGGTTTGCGTCCAGAGTTCTATGGTTTTGATATGAAAAACACTTACTATTTATTTTAGTTCATTTATCCTTTTCTTTATAACTATATTAATGGCATTGATAGATAAATTATTATCACCATGTCACATGCCATTATAAGTATTTTGTTTATATCAGTTCGAATTACGCGCTCTTGCTATTTGGCGGGAACTAAAGGTGAGTAACGCATGCACAGCAGGTAAAATCGTCTGTTGGGAGCAGACATTGACGGGTGTAGACCGGACTGTAATTGTATTCTGGGGAAGCACAAATATCAGCTTGCTCTTTTCCCAACCATAGGCTTCGTCGCTCGGGTGCCTGTATGGTAATGCTATGTCAACTGAACATACCATGTGACGTCATGTCTGTGTGACTGGATATCTGGACTGTGTAACCGGATAGCGTCGTATAATTCAGTCTGTGCGACTGTTCGCCTAATTCATCATCTGGACTATGTGCCCTGATGACGTAACGTCATATGACGTCATACCTTCCTGAGTGGCTGGTCTGTGTGACCAGATGACGTCATTTTTTCTTGATTGTGGTCTGCGTGATCTTATGATAGACATTCCTGTGTGGCTTGTCTGCGTGTCCTGATGACGTCATACTTACCTTTAATTATCTGCACACTTTGGTGACGTCATATCGATCTACTAGATCATCTGTATGACTTGATGACGTCATACTTACCTGTTGGGGGCATCAACATACCATGATGACCTCATACTTAGTGGACGACGTGTAACTTACTTTTGATGGGACTACGAGGGTAGATATCGCCATACTTACCTTGTGCTGGACTTTGTGCTCAGATACCGCCTACAGGAGGCTGATCTACGTGACTGTAGCCTGTATGACTTGTTGTTGGTTGGACTGTGTGGCTAGCTACAACTCTGGAGGAAAGCTACTGACCTTGATAGGACTACTATATATTATAAATACTAAGGTGTAGGAAATTCATCTATAGATATCATTTATCATCTTGTGTGAGTGGGACTGAGAGAGAGACCCCTGTGTGAGGATGGTTGTGCGTTATATTCTGTATAATATAATGTAAATAAACTGTATATATTGTACCTATTGTGTTGACTCTTGTATGGGGATCAGTAATCAAGTAATCCCGGTCGGTTCTCGTAACACACCATATTCAAAGTGGCCCATCATCACAGAAAACGTCATTAGAGCCAAGAAATTGTGAACAAAAAAACAACAAAATTAACCAACATCTACAGATCAAAATTTCCGCTATCCACTATTTATCTTTAAAGCCCCAATATACGTAAAAATCACTATAAAAAACAAACTTTATCTTATTTTCCCCGTAATATATGCAACGAAACAAATACTTTCCTTTAATTAAAGAAAATAAAACTGACTGTTTTCAATTTAAATAAAAATTGAAAAAATCGGAAAATAAACAATGTGGGACCCACAATAATTCATACATTACCGCTCGTAGCGTTAACATTGCGCATGCGCATAATCCGCGTGTGTAAACATGGCAGACACAGCACAGACGTTCACCAGTCGCTTCCTTTTTTCCAATCATACATCAGGCCAGTTCTGAATTCTTACGTTATAATTGTGCGTCGTATCGTTTCTAAACTAAATATTCCTTTTAATAATTTCCAAAAACTGAATGTTTATCACATGAATACCTCAAGTCTACGACAAGACTTCGCAAACAATGTTTGTAAACAAAAACTTACCGTAGACATATCTGCATGTGCTTCCTCTTTAAGTAGAAACCTCAGCTCTCGCGAGATCAGGTCACGAACTTTCCGACCTCGTTCGGCAACAATCGTAATTTCGATGGCGGCGTGTTTAAAATGGAGGTGTATTTACAAATAGCGAGTTTCAACTGCTCATATATCAATACTTTATGCAGAAAGTCATGGTAACTATTGTTTGAATAACTTAATTTTAACTACATCTTAGAGAATATCTCAATAATTAAGTGTGATTCTACACTAGTTTTGGTGAATGTTACGTATATTGGGGCTTTAACCAGCCTTTGAACAACCGCGGCCAGATAGTGTATAATAACTAATTTCTGCCGAATTCAACTTGATTTCTGTGACTTTGGATGAAAGTCAGTGTCATGTATTTAAACATATCTAATAATACTACTTCCGCATTTGAGATTTGTAAACGAGTTTGCTTCGGAACTAGTCTTAAATCCACCCCACAACCCATTTGTTTTTCTCGGCAAGCGATCTACTAACCATGTCGATACAATTTACCCCGTTGGTAACGCAACTTCAAATTGTAGGTTTAATAAAATAATACTTGTGAGCATTATGTCTAAATTTCATATATAATAGTTAATATTGAATATTGATGTAACATCCTCTAAATGTTTGGAGATTTTTAAGAAAAGGTCACTTCGCTAGAAGGTCATGATTGGTAGTACCCTACGTGAATCCAAGTTGAAATGACAGCAGTTTTGAAACCGTGCCCTAATATCGTGTGTGTCCTCCTCGAACAGCTATAGCATCTCTAATTCTTCGTTGCATCGCGTTCATCAGGGCATTGACTGTCCGTATTGGAATGTTATTCCATTCTTGGACTAGTGCATTTGCTAACTGGGGGAGGGTATTTGGGGGGTTACGGCGATTGCGAATTCTTCTGTCTAGTTCATCCCACAAATGCTCGATTGGGGACAAATCGGGGGTATATGGAGGCCAATCTATAGGAACAATGTTCTGTGTCGCAAGAAAGTCTCTACAGACTCTTGCAACGTGTGGTCTCGCGTTATCTTGCTGCAAGGTTAGATGATGCTGCCTAACAAACGGCACAACATGGGGCCTAAGGATCTCATCCCGATAGCGCACGGCCGTTAAATTCCCATTGACTATCACCAAAGGTGTCTTCAAACCATGGGAGATTCCCGCCCAAACCATAAACTGACCCACCCCCAAATCGTCATGCTCCAAAACACAGGCGTCAGCAAAACGTTCGCCTCGACGCCGGTACACACGTTGACGGCCATCTGCTCGAAATAACGTGAATCGAGATTCATCGGTGAAGAGCATGGACCTCCAACGTCTCATAGGAAAACGTCTGGGCATATGTGCCGCCAACCATTGCATACGACGTTGCGGTGTTAGTGGTAAACCAATGTACTGTCGCCTTGCACGCAAATTAGCCTTACGCAGTCTGTTGATCACTGTTTGGGGATGAATCCGATGGTTATGATTACCAATCGTATTCCTTGCCGTTTCAGCAGCCGTTAACCTCCTGTTACGCAAGTGTGCCAGCCTAACAACCCGGTCTTGACGTCGCGACGTTACGCGTGGACGTACTGATCTCGGCCGGCCATCGACTCTTCCTGTGGCGTTAAGACGTGAAACTAATCGACTAATAGTCGATTTGTGAACTCTGAAGTGTCGAGCGACGTGAAGTTGCGTGCTCCCTGCCATAAGCATCGCGATAGCACGTCCTCTATCAACCTGTGATAACCGTGGCATAATTGTAAAAGGAATTATTGTTTGCAAAAGTATTGGCGATGATGTGTCTCGATGTTAGTGATAAATTGATACTGGTTTGAATGAAAAAGAACGCATATGTTTATACAGGCACGGTTTTTGATGTTTTTACCGCGCCGGATGTGCATAGGTTTCTCGTCACACCTGGTTGATTTTGAACATTGGTTAGGGTGATAGGCAGGGTGCACTTTTATTTCCACGATTTTTATACAGCTATGTATATTTAAAACAAAATTACTAACAATTTTCCAAGTTGCGGTTTTTTTTTTCGTTTCAGTATATTTAACCTGTGGTATGACCTTATGAAAGAGGAAGATTTATTACAAGATGTTTTTTTTTCTTTCTGCTTGGGGTTTTTGTAATCATTATTCTTTTCTAGATTTTAGAATATCATATTCTGCATGACGGGTGTCACTGACGAAGCAGTTCCAAGACATACTGGTGACGTTAAATGGTCCTTGTGAGAACAGCTTTTTCTCGTTTCATCAATTAGAATATACAATAATAGAATAAAAAATGATAACAGCAGTTAAGCATTATTCAGTGATGTACATGTTTATTATCACAACAAAATATTGTAACTGAAACTAATTAAAACATATTCATTTCAATATTTTATAGCAAGAATTACACTTTAAATACAAACAGTATAATGACTGAGAGTCTTTGATAAGCCTAGAATGAAATTGTGTAGTTTTTTTATACTGACACCAATGTTTTAATACCAGCAAAACACATCATGTAACTTATTGAAAGATTGATATTTATATTGATGTAATACGTGCAATATAGGCGAACATTGCAAGCACTGTCATTTGGAATGGAAAAATCTGGTTATCATTGTTTCCAAATAAAAGGAAAAAAACAACACCTTGTGTGATCTAATAAAAACTTTCGAAAATGTGGGTCTAATTGTTAGTACCCTGACTAAGTTGCGTCAATCTTTTATCATACAACAACAGTATTTGTTAAACACATGGAAGATGCAGACAGGTCAGTTGCAAACTAACAACTTTCTCTCTTTTGTCACAGAAAACCATGGGAAGTAGGATATAGGAAGTGCAGGAAAATCTGAATAAACACATATCCTACAGAAAACAACCATCTTTCATGCATACCTAAAATGATGTAATGACAGTGTTTACAGTATGAATTTGCATGCAGTAATTAAGGGCCCAGATCAGCTGTAAGTAGAGATACCACCAAGAGGAACTGTTACATGTGGGAGAAACTCAGGCACCTTCCCCATATCTGCAGGTGTCATTGTGTAGATATTCTGATAAAGACGAATTGCATTTAATCAAATCAACTAGAATTAGGCAGGTGCTTGAAGACTTGACGGTCTATCAATCAACTTGGGACATGTAGACAGCTCTAATGAAGATATATTATGAACACGATATTACCATCTATTCAAATACATGCACACAGCTAGTAAATAACCAGTAAACATTTTCAAAAAAATAATGAATCAGGTTTTCTCTATACAAAAAATTTTTCAGCAATTCCCAATATTGACACTACTTTTAGGATGAGAGGTGCCAATAGAGGGATATTTGCACATCTGAAGAGAGAAATATGAACATATGGACAACAGGGCTAAATTTAATTCCCTTGTAGGTTCTTGATTTTAAATGGAAATTTACTGAAAGGAAATGAGTGTGGTGATTGCATTTACATGGGTTAACAAAGGTGGTTTTTTTAAGTTTTGAATGGATATGAAAGATTTATAAGGTTACTATAATAACAATGTGTTACATATATTTCAACACCTTACTGATGTTAAATGGTGTGACATATACTTATAAGCCATAAAATGCAGGGTATTAATGCCAGTAAATTAGTGCCTAAATGTAAGTAAAATAGACATTGATTTTTTTAGGTGTTTGTCTGAATGAAATTATCTTCATTTACTATGTATTTGAAATGATATTTTCATCCACCAAATTTAGCTTAGACTTCAAATTTTCAAATGTAAGCAGGTATGACATTTTGACTTTTCACATTTTGAAAGAATGATTTCTCTCTGGATAGTTAAGGGTGAAGTAGAAGTTCTGTGACATGCTATATGTTTATTATACAGTGGAAAATATAAGATAGAAAATATTCATCAACGTGCAATGTAAAGTATAATACCAAATTCAATAAATAGATTAACATTACAAAGTATAGATTTGTAATCTATTCAAAAGGTACATATCTATCAAAGATCTTTACTACATCTTCACACAACATTCTTGTCATCTGATTGACAAGCCCATACAGAAGGCTACAATTAGATGGGGCAAGATCTAGGTTGTCTTACAACTGGAATCAACTGGATTTAGTCCTATTTTGCACACATGCTCTTGCACAGCTTCCAATGTTTTTTTTAATTTAGGCATATTACTGTTAATTCATTCATACCACGAGTATTAATTACGCTGGTTCCTGCTCGAGCTCTGCTGTTGGTGTTTTCTCTCCTGACATTTCCTCTGTCTGACAGTATTTATCATCCTGTTCTACTGTTATAGATTGAAGAATTTTTTGCTTCGCGGTGGTGCAGACCTCAAGGAGTTCACGTAGGCCGTTATTCTCCTTCTGAAGCTGACTGAAAAGTTCCTGATCCTTAGCTGATGCATCCTCGTCAACCATGACCGCTCGTTGCATTACAGCGGCCATCTCACATATCTTGTCAATTAGACGTTCAAGATCCTAAAACCATACAAAATAAGGTGCGTTCATTGAATCAAAGCACAAATCATAATTACAAAAAAATCTCTCAGAATGTCAACATATAAACATTAAAGACTATTTTTAAACAAATGTTTCTAATTACAACTTATATTTGAGATGATAGCAGATAACTGCATGCTAATTAGGTTGTTATTTAGTCAATTTAAAATTGTATTTACAACTTTGTTTACAACAATTCATGTTATATATTAACATAACAAGAGGCCTAAGGGCCTTTACAGTCACCTGAGGTCTTTGGACAGTTTTAGAACCTGTCCATCAGTCCCAGATTGGGGCAGGCACAATAGAACTGATATATGCACACTTGCAAGGTTTCATCGTTTTTAAGCTTTTCAATTACCAGGTAAACAGAACTGATAACAGTCTCTGTTGTTGTAGTTCAGCATATTTGACCCCTGTGACCTTGAATGGAAATCAAGGTCATTCATTTGCAGGGTTTTCCATAATTTTGTTAGTAGTAGGCTGTGTAGTGAAAGTAGGAGGCAGGCCTGCTGTGTACATGTAGTCGTGCATGGAACATTATTACGAAACTGGATTGGTGTAGGCGGCCAAATGACCAAAGTAACTAGTCAAATTGGCCGGTGAATGGCTCTTATGGAAAACCCTGCATTTGAACAAACAAAATAGCTCTTCATTCCAGAAAACTATTGACCCAATATCAGCACCCTGGGCCCTTTGGTTATGGAGAAGAAATCAATTAAAGATTTCAACACCTTTGACACCTGTGACCTTGAATGTGGGTCAAGGTCAATGATATAGACAACCTTGGTAGAAGTTCATCCAAGGATGCTACAGGCTCAATATGAGCATCCCTTGCCTTTTGTATATTGAGAAGAAGTCATTTACCCTACTTTAGGAGCTATAAACCTCACCTGAATATAAGCTGATAGACTGGATTTTGGTTTTTGGGTTTTTTACTTTATCAACATATAAAACGCACCAGGATATAAGTCACTATCTTTCTTTCTACATGGTAACCATTATGTTGACCAAAGTTTGTTGATAAAACAGGCAACTGAAGGCAATTCATCAAGATTGGCAGGGAAACATTTAAAATAAGTTTGCAAATGAACTACATATATACAGATAGTCCTTTATTTTATTGATGTGTTTGAAAAAAGTAATATAGCAATTTTTAAACTTGTTTCACATGGGAGCCTTCAAAGATTGTCAATGCAGATTTAGGGCCTGATGTTACGTATGGGTTACTGAACAATATCTCCATCAGTGTCTGTACTATTATATATTAGCTTGGTGGTCATTCCAGAATTTGACCTGATGACTTATCACTCCCAGGATGCAACAGGTTATTGTAAACTTCCGCTATGACTTCCAAACCAACCATGAAAGTTTAGAAGATATTGTTGTGATTTATGTTAAAATGTAAAAGCTATAATTCATTAAATTTTAAAAAATATTATTTTTATTTCAATCTCAAAATCATCCTGTATATCGTTGCAAATGACGGTTCAAGATGATCTTTTCCAGTCACAAACATGTGATAGACAGGTACTCATAAAAAACTTGGTACCGACATCTCATACTGGTGCACTGATATCCTTTGTTTAAATCACTATTTGTAATTCTTTCTGGAAGCATGACATGTTACAGCAACAAATATGATCAGGGTGCGAGGTCACTCTGGTCAATTGTGCATGTGATATGCCTCAAAATGGCCGTGCGGAAATACATAACAGTCCAGAATCAATGTCCAGATAATACTCTTCATTTTCTTTCTAATTAAGTCTATTTTGTTTTTGCAGAGAAAAAAAGGTGGGGCTTACAACCCCGACAATATGGTGAACATTTAAATATATTTGACATCTAAAACCTTGAAAGTGGGTCAAAGTCATTAACTTCAACAAACTTGATAGCCCTTTATCCCATCATGCTACCAGTCCAATATCTGCATTCTGGGCCTTTTGGTTATTGAGAAGAAGTTGTTTAAATATTTTAAAATTTGATATCTGTGACCTGGAAATTGGGTCAAGGTCATCAACATGAACAACATTGGTAGTCCTTCATGCCAGCATGCTACAGGCCAAATATAAGCACTCTTAGTCTTTTTGGTTGTTGAAGAGATGTCATTTAAAGATTTTGACATATTTGATACCTTCAAGGTCAGTAATATAAACAAGCTAAGTAATACTTCATCACAGCACACTACTGGCTCAATATGAGCATCCTGTGCCTTTTGTTTATTGAAAAGAAGTCATTTCAACATACGTATTTGACCCTTGTAACCTTGAAAGTGGGGGGAAAGGTAATTCATTTCAACAAACATGGTCCATTCCAGCATGCTACAGGACCAATATCAGCACTCTAGGCCTTTTGGTTATTAAGAAGAAGTAGAAAATGTCATTTGTTTATGACATATGAATAAATCACTTCAGACTTTGTCTCAGGCGACATAAAAAACAAAACAATTGATGATTTCAAATCTAACCTTCGACTGATCTCTCTTTTCTGCAATAACATTCTCAAAATTGTTGGCCTGTATGAGTTTTGTCATTTGTTCCCTGTATTTCTGCATGATGAGTTCTAAAGCATTTTGATGTTCCTCCAGAGAGCATCGTAGTTCTCTGTTCTCTTGTTGAAGCTCTCGGATCTGTCGATTCTCCTGAGCAATGCCAAGAACCAATGTGGAGCGGGGACGGTGACGTGCAATCTCATTTAGCTCTGTGATGTCATCTTGGTACTGCAACGTTAAAAGAAAGTGATAAGAATTGATATCATAGTCATGGTGGACATGCAAAATGTATATTTTTCAATGAGCTTATTGACATGAATCAGATTTGAAACAAAATGTTCTAATAACTGAAAATATATTTCCTTATCAATAATAGTTCAAACACATCAAAGGAAATTTTAAAATGTATTTGAATTAATCAGGAACTAAAGTCATCTTTATATTGGCTGAAAGTAACTCAAGGTAGATAACTCTTACAAAACAAGCCTATTTAGTAGGTGAGCAAAAAATGAAGCACATGGTTATAATAAAAGTACTGATTATAATTTCAACACAATTTCCCTGTAGGAAAATTTGTTATGGCATTTATTTACACTTTTCTGACCAGTACAGCATTGTTTATTAAATGAGAAAATTAGTTGTACCTCTTTCATAGCATCTAATCTTTTATGGAGTGTCTGCGTGTGAGCAATTAGGATGTCTGCTGTTGTGTCATGAGTACGAAGTCGAGCCACAAGAATCTGGGCATCAGCCAACAGTTTATCAACACTCATAGCCATCTCAATTCTGGAAGCATAGAAACAAAACTTTTACTAAGCAGTTATTTTCCTCTATTCATGATTTTGTATAGCTTTTCAATTTACCTGCCATTGGTTTGAAACCACCAAAAATCACATATACAGGAAATAATGTAATACAATTTAAATTTCTGATAAAAATTCTGCAACCGTATGTGAGTAATTCTCAAGAATGCTCTGAACATAAAGATCCAGCCAATTCAGACATACCTAATCAATAAGTAAGTGAGAGATAAGTACTTTTCAAACACAACAAACGAAAATGGCATATCTGGATCTCTGCTTGAGACAAGAAGTATATAGTTGAATGTCTTATAGTTGGAATCTAAAGTTTTTAAATAAATTGTCTATTTTGCTAACAAGAGAATACCATGTAAATGTACCACTTCGTCATGAACAGTTTGCTTTTACTGTATTTTTCTGACCCAATTGTCATTATCATTGCATTCTTACAGTGGCCCATCAACACGAAAAGTCATTTGTGCAAACAAATGATGGATGTAAAAGAAGTTATATAAAAGAAATTGAAATTGTAAAAAGATAAATGCTTGTGTGATCAGCGGCAAATGGAAAGTTTACAAGGACACAATAGGTAGGATTATGCAGTGGTTAGGCATATTGCAAATATACTGGAAAATTAAGTCAGTGGATAAAATGAGTGAAAATTATAAGTTTACATGGAACACTTAATTTACATTTTAATTGCTTCGGCACTTAATCAAGTTGGTAGAAAAATGTTTTGTCTTTTCATCATTGTATAAGTATCCTTTTACGTTTTTATATAGGGAGGAATTCTAACTATCAGGACAAAAATAAAAATCTAATATAGTCAAAACCCTTCAGACTAGGTGCACACCCTGCTGCAAGTCTAAAGGGAAAATCTCATTAATGGACTTGTGACTGGTGGGGTGACATGAACTCTAAAGTCTACAGATATCTAACATTTCAAATGTAAAATATTAAATCGTTACTATGCTACTTAAATAGCAGTAATACAAGATATATGTAGCAGATCATCACCAACTGGGTAATGCGATTGTTTAAGCCTCCATCAAGAGTTTTGTTGGTCCCAAGTTCAAACTCCAGTCTGGCACTGCATCTTTTCTGCTGTTACAAGTTAGTGCCTGTGACCAACATTTGTTTCAAGTAGGTGTATGCATGACAAGGGGACAGCTAAACCTTGGTTGTAAGTAGCTGTCTTCAGGGGATCGGAGATGATTCAGAAAAAAGATGGAGGGATGTAGTAAGACTGGGTTGTTGGTCAGCAACCAGGTGACACAAATGGTTGAACTTTTTCTATAATTTGGAGGGTCCTGAGTTTGAATCCAGGTCTGACTTCCCGCTCCTGTTATATATTCATTTTCAAAACTCAAACAATAATAGAACATTCAAGTCTGTGTACCTCATAAACAAGAAAATGAGCAGTTCTTCAATCATCATCAATAATCAAAATATAATGGAATATTATGACTTATGTTTTTATAGCAAGCATTGCTTGAGCGGCCCCACAGGATACACATGTTCATGTTTGTGTCAAGTTAACAGACGTCAAGAAAAGAAAGGTGAACATTCTCTTCACCTATACTATCTGTTATGAAATTGTCATATGGAAGTGAATTCCCAGTAATAATTTGTGGTGGATTGCAACATGGTTGACATAGTGACAACTAGTCTCATTAACCAAAACATTCATCGTGTGTGTAGACAACAAGAATCTGGCTGAATGAGACTACATGATTAGCATCTTATTCTGCAAATGTGCAGAGATTGTCTGAAGGGATAAACTAAGAAAAACAAAACACCACAAACTAGTTAGTATCACAATAAATATAATCAAACAAGTATCATTTCTCAAATAAAACTTTCTATTCTTGAAGTTAGGATTTCCAAAAGATCCTATATATAAGGCGTTTGACATTTCTACGGTCAGATGTTTGGATGGATCAGTTCATTGAGATTATTTGATGCTTTGGAACAGTGAAATGGGGTTTTCGTCCTGGTATTCACTGCACGTATGAGTCAGCCAACGTCTGCAACTGCACCGCGACCGACAAGCTTGTAATAAAATTCATCAATGGTGTAAATATACCGGCTCATATTTTACTTAGTATAAATCAAACAAAAATCTTTACCTGTTAGGATAAACGCACTGTCTACATGAATCAATAGGCTTTGATTTTTCTCTTTGACAGTCACCGAACGTTCGGTCTCCAAACTTGACACCGGAAGTAAATCTGGCAAAGCTTTTGTAATACACCGACTGCCGTGAAGGGCTTTAATACGCTTGTAAACGCTAAGGGCCCATCTCAAAGACAAACATGCAGTCCCGGTTGTAGAAAAACATTATATATCTGTGTTACAGGTATTGTATACATGATCAATGTTATGCCTGGTTGAAAGCAGTCTAAGCTACTTTCCCAAATGTGTCAATAATAAAATATTTTGACTTTCATGCATTTGTTTCATGGACGTAGTCTAATCAAGTAATATGATATATAATATGTATTATTGTAATATACAAGTCCGTGGATATATATACATGTACATCTATTTGTGTACGAGAAAATCGTGTCAGCACGGTCAGCTCGGATCCATTAGAAATATGTTTGCAATTTTGTGTAGATGTTTTGTTACCAAATAGTATTATATTGACAGCTGTAGGGAGATATGAATGCACCCGGAATTGTATAAAGGGGAATAACTCGTGTACATGTATGTTTTATGTAACGACAGGTAGGCTTACTTTAAGAAAATGTAATATAATCTTTTAAGAAGAATGTGTTAAAACACACTTCCACATATAACGACGAGGCTTATACACGTAAACTTCTATGAGAAAAATGTGAACAAAATGGGTATAATAGGCCAAATAGATCAGGAATATTTCTATTCGATTATCGACTAACTGCCAAGTTACTGGCATATTATAATAATCACACTACTCTACTTTTTAAATATTTGCTTCGGTCATTTTCCATTATGTTGCTTGTGACTACCCTAATGAACATCATGTGGACATCATCCGAACACTATCACGAACCATTTAGATATTTTATTTACTGTAAGTGAATCGGTCAGTATATATTCACACCAATGGCTACAGATGTCCGTCGTAAACTGTACAAATGCGTTTGAAATTGCCTTTTTTATTATACGGACAGAATGTATAAAGTGATAAGCTTATAGATAAATAAATGAAGAAAATAATAATAAAAAATAACAGAAACATGAAAATAAACGCCAGTGATTGTTGATCTTCACATACTGTAAACTATGTTTTGGATGTAGCTTTGCCACTTGTGAGAATGTCGTTTATATTTTATCATTTCATTTCATTAATTACATATGAGATCCTCTATTCCGAAGATATCAAATGTACTTTGCTCAGAAAATAATATGATTATTTACTATGTCTAGACAGCAGTCCATCTTAATGACTCATCGATACGTGTACATTGATGCTGTGTTTACCTGTACAGCGGTGGCACTTAAACTAAAATTATGTGCCATGATTACCTAACAATGACACATCTATTTTTTAATTCAAGTTATAATATCAATGTGTTGGATAGTCACTATACTTCATAGTCAAAGGCATACATTTGGAGTTTTCTACATAATATTACTTGAATTGAAGTTGTCAAAATAATCGTTTTGTAAAATAAAATTGAAGGGGATTCATGTGTAAGTTTCAACTAAAAAAAATACACAACTACTTTTCATCTAAAAATTGAAAAAAAAATTGTAACGAAGAAATGTTAAATATGTTGATCAGAAACATACATTTTGGAATGTTTATCTACAAAATGATACGTTAATATTTTTCTGAAATGCCGCTCTATAATTTACAGTAAAAAGATCGTTCACCTGGACTGGAGCGAGAAATCCGCTCATGCACGACGCGGTATTACCTCAATAACTGCATATGATATATAATTTTGCCTTTTTCTAATTGCTGATATTAATATTGAAATAATAAGATTTACTGCCTCCCAGACCAGGTGTTCCGGAAGAGTAAGCGTCTTATGCGTCACTGATGACACCAGCATGTACATTTTGGTCAAAAATCTAAGTACAGTGTTAGTAATGTCACGTTCTCAAATGCTTCAAATACGTCCAACTTAACATCACACAAAGAAATAAAATATTTTCAACGAGATCACTATGGCGACCGTAAAACTTCACACTGATTGTCATCAACCTGCATCTTTTGAAATCCTGTGTTATGAATTTGTCCCGTCAGTTGACGATTTCTTGCACGAAAATCGTGCTATTGGGAACAGGTCCTTGAATATAAAACCATTGGTTTACGCAGTTTGTCAGTTTGAGCTCTCAGCGAATTAGCGTAAGAGATGATACATGAAATCACTTTTCTCTTCCAAACACCTTTGACTAGGACACAATATCACACGACTGGTAAGACAGACACGTATGTACCAGTCTTCACGAAGAAAGGAAAAAGCAACTGAAAGTTACCGACATTTTACTCTTACTAGGATCATATATAAAGCATTAGAACGTACATGCATCATACAAAGTAAGGTTAGTATGTTCATATACATGTGTATAAAAGGTTTTGTCTTTCTTTAGATGTATTATTTATAGGCATACACAGTTGAAAATATTAACTAAAATTACGTGCTTAGCATTCCTTGTTTCAACTACTGAATGCGTCCAATACAAAACATAAAATTCTGTATAGATAGTCGGGCAGTTTTCAGGCTAGGTGTCGTCATGAATCTGAGAAGTGAAATTGCTAACATACATCATTTAAGTTAGATCAATTTGGATCTTTTTAAACAATTTTAATTCATTAGAATTGTGGCACAGTTTATGCAATTCACACAAAGCCTTTCTATCTTGATTTTGACCATTTTTTGATCAGCTTGGTTCTCCTCGGTCACCTCCTAGGTTTCAAAATCTAGACCCCCATTACATCACTGACGAGACCTAGAAGGACGAAACAGCTGTATGATGCAATTTGATTTATTAATGACTCTACTGTGTCTTATTCTGAAATTTTTGTTGCATGATGCTTTTCACTTGTGTGTCTTTTATACAATCTTGGACCATACCGAGACTAAATGCTGAACGCATTACACAACAGGTCCAAAGAATCGAAAATATAGCGGATTAATCCAGACAAATAGGCAGTGTACATATAATCACACTTATTTAAGGAAAACCCATCCGTTATCAGATGCTACTAGAATATGTGACTTTATAACCACCTCTTTCATCACATCAGATAATTGGAGAATTAGAGTTGTCAACAGAATCTTTATAGTACTGATTTCTTTCCCAGGAACATTATTGTCTGGAGGTTTCTTACGTCATTCTTAGCACATTCAGCAGCTGTCCTTACTACATATAACTTACTTTATGGCAATATTTGTTTTTATCTTATAACAGAATTACACAGACAGTAGCAGAGAGTGAGATGGCGAGCAGGGCTTTGTTGAGCCCATTGTCAGTATCTAACGGGTGGAGTGACATACTATCATGTCCAGGGGTTTTGATGATGCTTCAATTTGGTGGCGTTATAAAAGCGTTATATTCTGTGAACACAGGCGGATAAACGTCAGAAAAAGAAGATACAACAATAAATTCTCCATAAACGGATATAATTTATTAACTGAAAATTAATTATAGATATCAAAATCGCTTTCATTTGAAAGTCTTTAACAGTAATTGACAAAAACAGAACATTGCTTTTGTCATATTTGATAAATTCACGGAGAGTATATGACAAGTGTAATAAAATGTATACTATATTTTGGAGAGGGTAAAGAAAACAGTGTCTGAATCATTTCATTCGGTTTATCATCATTTAAGTGTCTTGTCACCAGAACGACATATCATCACATTACATCCTAGTTCGAATCTAAGGTATCTACTGTTTCCGCTAAAGATAGAACCGCAGAGGACCGATCATCATTTACAACAGGACTTTTTCGACGAATCAGATTCCGTCATATTGCGTTTTATTTTTGAGCTATGGGAGTTGTATTTTGTAACGGCCTGCTACGGATTCTCAAGCTTTGTCAGTTGTGGGCTCTCTGTTACGTTCAGTTACAATTTTGGATAGTTTTGTCATTTCTTTGATATACACCGAACCTCAGTACTGTATGGCTATCTATTAATACATATGTCATATTAAGGTCGCTGCTACCAATAACCTGATTTTGGTTTGGTTTACAATGTTCAACACCCAATCAACGGCGAAGTTAATTTAAAAGCAGCCTCCCGATATATCTGAGCTTAGTACGTGTGTTGCTTTAGCGTGTTGTTCGAAGGATGCGAAATATTTGTGTGAGCTCCTTGTGCTAGTGCAGAATTGAAGCCGACTTGATAGCGGTACGACTCAGAAACATACCGCCGAAAGTCTCCGACCTATTCTATTCATATATTGACCAGCATGAGGCCACATACATTACACCAATGCTCCACCAACAATTCAATGATTGGTTTGTGAGATACAACACCATTGCTACATAGTTTGTTTTGGACATGATAAAGTCAATTCATATGTTACCATATTTTTACAACCTTTTGCATGGTATTAACTAAACTTTGTCTATTTGTTCAAGGAGAATCTCACTATGCTTCTTGAAAGATGAAGATGGTGGTCAGCGCAAGCACCTGAATCAGTCTGCGCATTGCTCTCGCCATTACTTTGACGGTCAGCGTTTGGAAATTCTACACTAGCTGTAGCCTCATCTTCGAATTGATGTATTTCGAGTGGAGGCTTGGTAGCGTGTAACGCCGCGCCGATCGGAATAACGTAGCATGTTTTGCCGTCGTTAGACCCGCCAAGCAATATGCCTATGAATGATACATTGTTGTCTTTTATAACAAACACTCCAGCACCGGAGTCACCGCGTTTGGCAAACACCGTGTTGCTTGCAATTTGATATAAATTTCGATATCTAACGCGGTCCAAGCACACATTTTCATCCATATTTTCAAAACACCCCTTTGTAAGTTCTGTGGCCTGTCCAAATTTATAGACGTGTAGAATCTTGCCATCCTGTTCCAAGTGAATGGTTGGTTTTCCAATACTGGAAATTCCGCGAAAGTCTACAAATATAAAGCACATGATTAAACCTATAGTGTTTATTGCGTGTATGAACCCGATATATTAACGTTTGAAACATTTGGCATACGCTACAGCTTACTATTGACATTTTACACTGAATTATACCCTGTTTCTT